CCTCTTTTCTTCCTTCCTTCCTCCCTCCCTTCCTCTTTATTTTTCTTTTCTACTCATCCTTTGCAAGTATGTTTAAACTACCAGCATTAAACATAAAAGAGATTTTCCATTTGCTCTCTTTATACCTCTGTGTACTCAACTAATAACATTTTACCCACCTCCTCAAAAAATTCTGTCAGGACTGGTTAAAATTGGATTTCACACCCAAGAAAAATAACAGCAAAGTGCCTCATATTTAGTGTGCGTGCAATAAGGTTTTCTCCTGAAACGCTGCTCGGTATTAAGGTCTTTTGCTCACTAACAGCTTCTTCATTTATTCTGAAATTGTGTCTAGAGTATGTGAAATTGGCTCTTTTATTTTGCCGTACTAAAATATGACGTATTCATGAATTGTTAGTTTGTTTTAAAAAAGAACTTAATGATTTTCCCATAGTCTCCTATATTTGTTATAGTAACTGATAAATAATATTTTATGGCTTCTGCTCATTCAGTTGTTAAAGTTTTAAAAACATTTCATTATAATCCCTCTCCAAATAAAACAAGTCTTCTCTTTAAGTATTCAAGAAGTGTCATAGGACCTGAGTAAATATTTAAAAAGGCACCTGATGCTTATAGGTAATAATTCTTCAAATGCCTGTTTGATGAGGGTCCACACAGATGGCAGGTGTTCCTACAGAGAATCAGCGAGAGGGAGAAATGAACCACTAATTAGTTCATACTTGCACCAGGAGTGATGAATTCTGTAATGTCATCAATGATGTTTAGCAAGATAAATTATGCAGTGATCAGTGCAGGAGACACAGAGACATTCATTTGGAGCTTATTAATATTGCTTGAAAATTCTACATTTTCTTAAACTCTTAGTAAAGTACAGTGGTTGACTTACTGTTTGAGGAGACTTAGGATGCAGGATGCATTTGTTTCCTGTTTTGAAAAATGTTATTTGGCCAGGATTGCTTTCTAAATAAAGATTATTGACAAAGGACATATGATTCCGATTCAGAGATTATAGTCCTGGATATTTTTACTTCAAAAAGAAATTCCATATGTCTGACCTGTAATCAAGAGTACAGATATAATTGTTTTTATACATAGTTGGCATACTTCCATCTTCGTTTGTATATGTGTGTGTGTGAGTGTGTGTTGGTGTTTGTGTGTCTAGATGGATTAAGTAGATTTTCTACGATGTGTGTACATGTAATGACCTATTATTTGGCTGTGAAAATATAGCTTATAGAATTTTTAAAGATAAAAGTGTCCACTTACAGCTCTATAAACAGCAATAATTCTCTGCAGAAAAAAAATAGTAAAAAGAAATACATAAAGATTTTCCCTGTAGTTATTTGTGGTTAGAAAACAATGAATAATTTCTTCTCTCATTTAAATTTTTTTTTCATAATAGTAAATCAATTACATTTTTAATGAAAAGCATTTTCCTCAATTAGAGGGAACTTATTTCAAAAATAATTTTCCATCTTATCAAGATGGAGGTCGTTTGTAAGCACATGTCCTTTCTTTTATTTTTTATTTAGTAGTAAAAATAAGTTGACAAATGTTGGATCATTAGCAATACACAGAAAATTTATGTTGTAAATCGAGGACACTTAAGACATGAAAAATTAATACTTCAAATACTTCTTTTGTTCATTCTGTTTAAATGTGATACTAGTAATTTGATATGATTTAATAAAAATGAATATAAATAGCTCACTAGCAGATATAAAACATTTTTCCCCCCAATGAAGCTCAACTCACTTTTAACCACTTTGTTGCCATTAGATGGTTTCTACTTTTAAAACTCTGTATAGCTTTGCCAAGTGCAGGCTTTTCCAGTTCATGTACTTGCTAATAGAAACCTCAGAGTGTATTTTTGAAAAGTGATCTGCGTAGTTTTAACCAAGCCTAGTGAGATGAACAGGTTTTTTAAGTTAAAAAGTTTCCATTCTTATCAAACTTGTCAGTTCACTCTCTAATTCTTTAATAATATACTGTTCTGCTTAAGACGACCTTACCTCAAGTAGATACTAGGAGGAAGACAGAAAATTTTAAAACTATTTGAATTCTTGAAATGACAGTTTTAAATGTCTAAGAACGCAGTCTCTTAATATATCTGAATGTCTTTGAAAAGATGTTTTAATGGTTGGTGCTCTGCCAATGCCTCTTCACAATATTTTCAATTTGGTTATATTAAAAATATCTAAGTATTATAAAGGACAGCAGTGAGTATTGGGGAAATTAATTATAATTCTGAATATGCTACTAAATTACAGTCATCTTGGACGAGTAATGTTAACTCTCTGTGCTTAAATTTTATATTATCAATAAAAACAGAAAATAACAGGATTTTATCATTTTTTTCATAGTAAAATAAATATTGGATTTTACTTTGTAATATAAACCCTCTAGCCTTAGAAAGTTTCTCTAAAAGCAGGCTATCTCTACATAATGACCTAGGCATTCTATGGGAAGGGGGGAAAATTTATAAAGAACAATGACGAAATCATTTACAACCATGGAAGTTGTATTTATCATTTATTTTATCATTTATTTTATCATTAATTATATGTTTTTAAAAGTTTTATAAGGACTGCTGCCTACTGCTTATTCATTTGACATTCATTAACACTGTTCATTACAGGAGACTTTACACTCTAAAATAGGATTTTTGATTCCTCTGTCTCTCTAAAAGCAATCAATAAAAACACTTTAAAAAGAAATAGTGTATTTAGCCAGCATTAATTACCCTGTCCCCAGGTGAGATCATTACTTAAGGGCCTGAAAAAACAGCTTCTGCCCCCTCCTCCCAAGTCAGTCCTAAGCAGAATGTGAAGTTCCTCTTTGTAGGTGTTTTTTTTTATAGTTTATATGAACATGATTAAGCAACATCTAAATTTAAATCAGCAAACATTCTACTATGTTTCAGGATCTGAGTGTTGTTTTAATGCAACACACAAAGCCATTTGTATGCATTAAGATAACAGAGGTTTAAATTAAAATGCAGGTTTTTCCAGCACTTAAAATTCTCCATACACACATCAACTATTGCTAGAGATTTCATTGTTGTCTTTAAGACACCGAGATTAATGGGAGCTGCGGTATAGGTTTAAGAAGGAGAATGACCGACCTCTCCTTCCCTGCCAGTCTTTTGGCTGCATGACTTGAGGTCAGCTTCTTAACCTCTCATTCCTTAGTATCTTCATCCATAAACCGGAGATAATGCTAAATCATAGGACATCTGTAACTATGAAAGTATTTGTTAGTACACGCAAAGTGCATAGAACAATACCAGGCATGTAAGAATCATGTCAGGGAGGGCTCTGGTTATTATGTAACACTTGGGCTTTTGGATACAGACTTTCGTTTTGTTTCTTCATTCATTGTAGTTCAGTGGTTGCCAAAATGTAGCTCGCACATGAGTTACTGTATGCGGTTGCATTTCAGTAATTTTCCAGAGTGATTCCTGTGTGTGCATTCATTTTGTCCTGACTGAAATATTTTATAGATATATAAGAGTTGAGACTTTGCTATATAAAGTAGATCTGAACACAGTTCTAGGTGCAAGTAGAATATTGAATAGATTGGGTTTAAGCGGATACATTACTCTCCTGGTTTGTGCTAAAGGCAGTTTCCTCACTTCCCCAGAATGAGTTGATTTTTCTATAATTCTCTCCTGTTAGTTGACTTCTTGTCTTCCGCTTTATTTTGTTTTTGAAGATTATTTTACTGTTTTGTTAAGTGGAGTTAACGATTCTCATATTATAGTTTGTTTGAGAATTTGAATTAGTATATGTTCATGAGAATTAAAGGAATAGTACCTGGAATACAGTAGGCATTCAATAATTAGTAGGTCTTGTTGTTATTTTACTATTATAATCAACTCATTAACTTTGTCATATGTATCAGTTAGTGTGCCGTGGACTTTATTTCACCCAATTCTTTGAATATCTGCCTTTGCCAGACATGGTTCTCAGCCATGGGAACTACAGAAGTGCACATGACGGAAGAGGCCCCTGCTCTCATAGAATTTGTATCATTAGCTGATACGTGTCTTCATAGTGTTTGAATTAATTTTATTAGATCCTTTTGGATTGTTTCAGCATATCATTGGCTAGGTTGTCACTGTTCCAGCTCCATAGAGTACTTATCGGATCCACTGTGTTTTTCCTCCAACAGCTCTTTCAAGCACTTGATTGGAGGACTGGATGATGTTTCTAATAAAGCATATGAGGATGCAGAAGCCAAAGCAAAGTAAGTGGCTTTTTTTCTTTGGTCTCAGTATTGATTTAAAAAATGATTTCGTACAGAAATAAGATCCAATATTGGGCTGGACTTAACAATCACTGGACTTAACAATATCCCCATCACTCTGAAGGGGAGACACTACTTACTCAAGAGGGAAGAGCAGCAGACCATTCAAGGTAATTATTACACAGTAGCCTTCCTTTTGTATTGAAGATCATCTCAGTAAGGAAAATGGCTCGTTTAAAATTCAATATAAAAAATCGAATGTAAAGCCATTATTCCCCCCACTGAAAATACTTCCTGAGTGAATGGTGGTTGTGTTCAGTAGTTGTTTGTGAAATTGTGTGGAAAATAATAAGGCTGGAAAGTATTTTCCTGTGTCAATACATCGTCGCTTTACATTGAACTTGGGTGCCACTGTTTTCAGATTATTGTGAGATAGTACATATCCCATTAATTTTCACTTTTGCACAGCGAAATACAAGTGTCTCTACTAGAATAATTTGCTTTGAAACGTAGTTTTGTTTTTTTTTTAACAAAAATTTGAAGTCATTTGAGATTGGCTTTTTCTGCAAAAATGTTAGGTTACGTAGTAAAAATTGTAATGTGTATAATCCACCCCTCTTTTCCTCAATGAAGTAATTTAAGTCAAAATAACGTAGCATTTGATATCATACGGGATACCTGAAAGATTAAATCGACAAAGTTTATCAATAAATAGATCAGGGGCAGATCTTGATTGGTTGGTTTTGTGTAATATTCTTAAAGCAAAAGAAATAAGATATTTTTTATCTTGATTGTCTATGAAGATGAAAAATTTGGTCTAGTACTAAAAAAAAGTCAAAGATCTTGTACCCTAAAGTATTCTTTGATCTACTTCTGTTTCCCTGTTCAACTTTAGCCAAATTCACTGATTAAAGTTCTTGCACAACTTGATTTCCTCTATTTAGTATTTGAGGCTGGTCCCAGGCTTAGAATGGATCCGTGATGGGAAGCGATCATGAACTAGTTACATCTTTCTCAGTTTACTCTTGGCTTTGTAACGATAACTGTGTGTACTTCTCATGAATTCTGGGCATTGATGGGTTCACATTCGCATGTTTCAACTAAAGATAAGAAAACAAACTCACTGAAATTCAGATTCAGACAGTTAGAAGATAGGTGTCGAGGTAATTCTTCATGTTGGCAGAGAATCAGTCAGTATGAAAAATAGGACCCTGAACAAGGGCTGGAAGCCTCGGGTTCTGCTCCTGGCTCTCTGATTCCCAACCAAGTGATCTTGATCATGACTTAACTCCTCTCTTTCGATCTCATTAGCTTACCTTTAAAATGGTATTTTTGTGATTGAATTGATGGCAACATGTAAAAATACTTTGTAAATTATAAAGGGATATAAAAGTGGATGATATTGTTGGTAGAAGTAATCATTAGAAATATAACCTAATGAATTTGATATATGGTTTGATTTACAGATAATATTATTGCATATCTATAATGTAAAAATAATTTTATCTATGCAAGAATTCTTTAACCTTAGGTGGGCAAACTACTCTCACTGTGATAGTATATCAATATTAAATCCAGTCTGAAAAATAAGCCATAAATATCATTTTTATTAAAATATTATCATTTAGTTAAAAGAAAGTTTCATTAAGATTAAAGAACAAAAAGGCAATGAAATTACTGCCAATAGATGGTTCAAAATATTGCTATTTGACAGGATTATAAATTAGTCATTATATATTTATGCTTGAATTTAAAAAGTAAGTTCAGTTTAAATTTTTCTGTTTAATTGATACTAAGTCCACATGAATGTAGAATCCATATTCCTTAATGATGATAATTATTTTAAAAATGGGAACAGTGTGATGAAAAGAAATATAAAACCATTAATCCAAATTCTAGAGAGATTGATAATATAAACTTTATTGCTCAAAATAGCCAAATAAATAAATACGTACATATGTATGTAAACACATACTTAACAGACATATCAAGGGAGCTATAGTTATGCCTTTAACAGTGTTAGCATTTCATTGCTTTCTAATAATTCATATCTGAAGATTTCTGAAGTTGATACATCTTTTAAGTTAGATATCCTATCACTCAGAGAAGGTAAATTGTGAATTATTCCCCAGGGAAAGCTTTTTAGTTGAAGTAACAAGCTTAAACATCTATTTGGGTTGACATTTTTGTCTCTCTGTATTGGATTTTTTCCCCTTAAATACACTGTACCTTCACTTTGTATTTCAGGAACTTATAAGGTTTGCTGACATTGCAGGGATTATGACAAGGCTGAAATTGCTCCAAAGTACCTTTATGATTGTTAATACCTCTAAATTTTTATATAGTTACAAAATCTGTGCCATTTAGAACTGAGGTGTTGGCTTTAGCTCCACTGCGTAAGCTTTATTTTTTAAAGGTCCCTTGATTTTGCAAAATTCATTAAAGGTAAGATTAGTATTTCATAAAACCCAACTAAAATGATTATATTACTTATGCATGTGAAATGTTTGTTGGTAGCCTCACTAACTGCCTATTTGGGTAGAGAGAGAAAAAGTAGGACTGACAGTAAAGATAAATTTAGAAACTCATTTGTGAGAAATAATTATGCTATTAGGATAATCAAGTGTCAGCGGCCGAATGATTCCACAAAATGTACAGATCTTCCCTTTCAGAAAAACCGAGCTCGAGTGGCTGGCCCAGGAAGATCAGTTAGAGAGAACTGTCCCAGGGAAACGGTGCTCAGAGCTCCCGACCGTGGGAGAGGTGCCCTGAACCTGCCTCATGAGATTATTTCCTACAAATCCATTCATTCTTGACAGAAACTTTGCCTTTCATGGCATGTTTAAACTTCTCATAATTGCTGCTAATTATCCACTAAGGGCTTCCCTTTCCAAATCTGAAGTTATAATCACAACTACAATAGAAGAGACACCACATCAAGGCGAAGGATCATTAAACCTTATTTAGAGCAGAAAGTAGCGTATGTGATGAAAGGTGCACATTATTTCCCTTTGCCACTGTGGACTCATTCATCTAATAAAGATATAGAAATTTCCTTAGGACGAGTCGGGCATTGGGCTCTACAGGGCGCATGCCCAAGAGAAAACTGTTTCCTAANCATACAGAAATTTCCTTAGGACGAGTCGGGCATTGGGCTCTACAGGGCGCATACCCAAGAGAAAACTGTTTCCTAACGTGAAGGCATCTCAGGTTGGCGGAGAGGGTGGTGTATGACTCGGTGCTGCTCACTGTTTAGTTCTGGGACATGCTTAGTTGTGGCACTTACTGTGATGCATCACTGTGGGTGGCGAGACCTGTCTCCACATCTACACCTTGTCTTGTGAAAAAGGAACCATCCGGACTTATCAAATAGGAAAAGTAAATATTTTACTTCATGACAAGTATTTCTGATATATAAATACATACCATTTCTTAACTAAAATATATATATTTTTTAATTTATTGGGGTAACACTGGTTAATTATATTAAATTTCAGGAGTACAATTCTATATGCATCATCTATGCATTCCGTTGTGTGCCCACCACCCAAAGTCTAGTCTCCTTGTGTCACCCCATATATGACCTTTTACCCTCTGCTTCCTTGCCCCCCTTCCTCTAGTAACCGCCACACTGTTGTCTGTGTCTATGTGTTTTTCGTTTGTGGCCTTCCATTTTTATCTCACATGTCAGTGAGATCTCATGGTTCTCGTACATTTCCATCAGACTTATTTTACTTGGTGTGACCCTCTCCAGATCCACCCATGCTGTGAGAAATGGCTGAGCAGAGGTCCATATGTACCACATCTTTGTTATACAATTGTTAGTCAAAGAACACAGGTTGTTTCTGAGTCTCAGCTACTGTGAAAAATGCTGCAGTGAACACAGGGGTACTTACATCTTTATGAATAAGTGTTTCCAGATTTGGGGGATAGATGCCCAGAAGAGGGATTCAAGTTATACTATCATTGATGTCTTAATTNACTTACATCTTTATGAATAAGTGTTTCCAGATTTGGGGGGTAGATGCCCAGAAGAGGGATTCAAGTTATACTATCATTGATGTCTTAATTGCTAAATACTGTGCCCAGCAGTTATAAGTAAAGAGATCTTTCTCTGAATAAAAAAACATATATTCTGATAAATATATTTTTATTTGTCAACTTAGCTTGTTAATTATAATAGTTGGTCATAAAAATCTTTCATATAAAAGTTGCACTATGATGACATGACTTACATATGCCACAGCTATATTCCCAGGTTATGGCCATACAGTGGGGAAAACCAAAACAACCATNACCATACAGTTTTGGGGAAAACCAAAACAGCCATCAGTGTATTATTTATAATTATGTCTATTTTTATTAAAATGTGTGTATTTTCACTTTAATAGAAATAATACAGTAAGATAGATAAAAATCACAGTCTAAACTAATCAAGCACAACTGCTATTAACTTTGTGTTTTATGATTTTAATGCATTTATTACTTGATATTCTGCTTTTTTCCATTTAACAACTATCATATTATAATGCTATTATATACACTTTGTTAATGCCATCTGGGTGATGGCCTGATAACACAATGAATGAAGATAATATTTTAGACTGATTCACATTTAGCCTTATTTATTCAATTCTTTGTGCTTTTGAAAATCTCAATCGCTTTGTTTGTTTTATCTTTATTGTTGAAAGTATTACAGATGCTCCCCTTTTTCCCCCCATTGATCTCCACCCTGCACCCCACCCCCCAAGGCCTTCACCACTCTATTGCCTGTGTCCACGGGTTATGCATGTATGCATATAAGCTCTTAGGTTAATCTCTCCCCATCCCCTCACCCCACCCTCAATCACTTCTTAAAGAAAACAAAAAGCAGCAAACAACAAAAAAATACCCTCAAATTGCTCCCATCTAAAAGCCCTTTCCAAACTATTTTATGTCCTGACATGCATAGAAAATGGGTACAGCGTATTGTGCCAGTTGGTGTAGCTGCCCTAGGCTCT